GGAGGAAGATTTCCTGCTGCTCTTCCATCCCCTCCCAGGAAGCTCCAGGAGGAAGATTTCCTGCTCCTTGCCAAGGCTTAATGCCCGGGCACAAGGCCCCTGCCCTGGTGCCCATTATTATGGGGGGGCTGAGAACTGCTGGAAAATCACCACCACTCATAAATATGTTCCCTCTTACCCGGAGATATTTTGGGCCCGGAGACAATTTGTGTTTTGGGAACCTGCCAGCCTCCATGGGCTGGTCTAATAATTCCTTTGTGCAGCGGTTTGAGGCCCTCCTTTCACGATGGAGCTCAAAAAAAACCCCAAAACACTCCAATTTCTTCTCTGATTGCATTTTCTATCTGCCATCAGCGGGTTGTCTGGCTGATCTTATCACCCACCCCATTTGAGATTAGTCTGTTGGGTATGATTTCTGCCTGCAAAAGCCCTCTCTATAAATCAGAGAGGCCTTTTATGCAAAAGCCTGCAAGATTGATGGGGCTGTATGCGAAATCTTTTACCTTGGAAAAAAAGAGATGTGTTGGATATAAAGCTTTCCCTGAGTAGGAAGAGCTTTTTCCAGGGAAGGCAGGAGACAAGATGGGAGCCTTAAATACACACAGAAGGAGGGGAGTCTTTTTTTTTTGCCGTGTCTAGTGGGGATAAGATGAGAAGCAAAGGATTTAAGAGACAAAAAGTGAGATTAAGGCGAGTCATTAAGGATTTTTTTTTGTACCTGTAAGCCCTGGTTAGCCTGGGAAATCCCCATCTCTGGAGATTCCCCTCAGGACCAGTGATGTCTGCAGTGCTTTGCAGCCCTGCTTTCTCTCTGAGATCCGTCCCTGGGAAATAATCCTTTTGGCAAAAATTCTTCCTCACCACAAATTACTGGTGGCGGTTTTCACCTGCAGAGGAATATTTGAGTTTGGGATATCTCAGTTCAAACGGAGATACAGGAAAAAAACAAGATGCTGGGGGAAAAAAAATCTTTGAAGGAAATAGTGAAGAACAGCTTCAGAATGAGTAAGACATGGTGATCAATTAATTGTTGTTTTTAAACAAAGGAGAGGGAAAAAATACAGACAAATGTGCTCAGATTTAACTTTGTCAAATAATCAAGACACTGGTGAAGCCCGTTTGCTGCACAAAAACAGGCTTCAGAAATGACGTGGAACCAAAAAAAAAAAGCTGGGCCAGGGTATTATTTTGGGAAAGTCGCTACGTGGGAAATCTAATTAATCACCCGGCGCCGCAATTTACTGCCTGGGTTGTTCCAACACAACCACTAATCTATAGCACCGATATTTCAAGCCACTAAGCACCTTTCAGAGAACCTGTGTGTTTAGTTCAGAGCTAAGAAATACTTTTGTATCTAGAGATATATATGGAGAGATAACAGGCTTGATACAGATGTTAATTTTGAGCTGTAGCTGCAGGGCACAAAGTGTCGGTGAGGCACAAAGAGGCAGAGGACGCAGCACCTCCTCCTCCCTCCGTCCCTCCGTCCCTCCATCCCTCCATCCCTCTCCTGCGCTCTCCGTGGTGCTGACGGTGCACAGGGAAAGGGGGATTTCCCTCCAGCAGATTTTAGTCCCGTTTGGGAAAAATTTTCAGGGCAAAGAGCTGGCGAGGGGTTTTTTTCTTGTTTTTCGGAAGTCTGAAACACTTCAGGCTTCAGAGGGATTTAAGCAAGCGAGTAAAGGGAGCGCCGGGGCAACGGAGCCGCTTATTCACACACGTGGTAATAAAAGGAAATTAAAATAATCGATTTCCTGAAGGGAAAGGTAATTTGCAAAGGTCTTTCCCGCTCCGCGGGGAATCCGTGCCCACTCGGCGCCCGAGCTCTCTCCAGACTTCGCTCCTGGATGCAAAGGCATTCAGGGGGACTGGGAAGGGGGAGATCCAGAATTATGCAGGAATAAAACTCCGGGTGTAGCCGCGATTCCTGATTTTCCGCCCTCCGCGTAGGGCTCCGCGGGGAACCCCCACCCGGGCGCGGTGCTGGGAAGGAAAAGCACCGGCAGCGTTACTGGAAACGAGCCGGCTCAGGTTCCAGATCAATGAAAACTGGGTCCGCGCGTTGATGCTCCCGTTGCCAACATTAATGCCCTTTTAATCTTCTCAACATTATCTGCATCGATTTCCCGCTGGATGCGCGTTTGTTTGGGAAGGCGACATCACCGCGCGCCCGGCGAAAAAAAACCCAAACCCCTTCTGTCCCCCTGCCGCCCACCCCCGGGGTTTGCAGATCGCTCCTTGGAGCCCAGGAGGGAGGGATCCGCATCCCTCTCCCGACGGGAGCACGGCAAAGCCCGAGCACCCTCCGAGGGGCTTCTGGCCACCCCAGGACTCCGGGTTAGGGGTCGGGCGGGGATTTCGGCCATCCATCATTCCCGGCTCCTCGTCCGCATCCCGCCCCTGCTGCCCCGCGTGCGGGGATTCTCTGCGCCCGCTCCCCCACTGCAGAGACCCCCCGAGTCCCCACCCGCCCGCGGGGGAGCGCGAACGCGCGGGGATCGATCCGCTGGGCTCGGCAGCGATGGGGATGAAAGAAGGACGGGCTCGGCGGCACAAACCCCCCCGCATTTGGGCTCTGTCAGAGCAGAGCCCCGGCCCGGCACCCTCCCCGCGCTGCGCTCTGTGCCCCGCGTCTGTCCATCCACATCCACAGCTCCCGGTGCGGAGGCAGCCCCCGGCCGGGGGGCGAGCGGCGGCGACCGTAGGGGACAGCGCTCGCCGGACCTGCCCCGCTCTGCCCCGGGGCGGGCGCTACCGGGTCTCGGTGCGGGGGGTCGGTACCGCGGGTCGGTACCGGGGGTCGGTACCGGGGGTCCCTGCCCGCCGCAGAACAATGGGGGCTGCGCCGCCCCGTGCCCGCGCCAGGGGGAGCCCGCGCGGCCGCCGCGGACAATGCGGCCGGGCCGGGCTGCGGGATGCGCGGGGATGATGTGCGGGGATGATGTGCGGGGCATACGCGGGGCCGGCCCCCTCCGAGCGCCCCCGCCTGCCCCGGGACGCGGGTCCCCCGCCCGGCGCTGGGAGCGGCGGGAGGGATGCCGGCGGAGAGCGCGCACCTTCAGCACCGGGCCCCGGAGAGCAGCGCCGGCAGCGGAGTTGTCCCTCCGCCCGCCCCGAGCCCCGCACGGCTCCGCCGGCCCGGGCCGGGCAGCACGGGGCCGGCGCTGCGGGAGGGGGAACCGGCCGGCCCCGCACGGCCCCGGGGTCACGGCGGAGCGCGGAGCGGGGACGCGGCCGGGTAGGGGCGGGCGCTGCGGGGAGGGGATCGCGCTCCGCTCCCCGCACGTACCTGCGAGCCGCAGGGCCGACATCCTCTGGAACTCCGGCTCCTGCAGCCACTTCCACATCCTGCGGAACGTCTCCCGGCCGGACTTGAGTTTACTCCAAGGCTTGGGGTTCCGCAGCAAGTCCGAGAGGGTCCCCTGGGAGCGGCAGAGCACCCGCTGGGCGAAGATGGCCTGGGGGATGCTGTAGCGCTTCAGCTCCGCCGTGATCCTTTGTGCCACCTCCTTGGTGTTGATCTCCTCCAGCTGCCCCGCGCCGCTCCCTTGCGGGCCGCCGGCGGGGGTCGGGCGGTCTCGGCCGGGGGGCAGCGCGGGGCCGTGCGGGGCCGGCGGGCCGGGGGGCGCGGGGTGGTGCGCGCCGTTCAGCGGCGGCAGCATGGCCGGGGGCGTCCCGAGCCCGCGGGGCAGCGGCTGCTCCCCGCCCCGCGCCAGCATCGCCGCGTGCGCCTCGAAGTTGGGGCTCAGCATCTTGTCGGGGCCCGGCGGGCCGTAGCCGTGCAGGCCCTGCTGGGCGGCCGGCAGCGGGCCCAGCCCGTTGCCCAGCGGCGAGAGGCTCTGCCCCACGGCCGGCACCTCCTTGTAGGGCCCGTACAGGCTGTTGACGGCCGGCAGCCCGCGCTCGTCCCGCATCAGCGCGAAGCCGCCGCCGGCGCCGCCGGGCAGGCGCTGGTGGTGGTGGTGGTGGTGGTGGTGGTGGGCGTGCGGGTGGGCGTGCGGGTGGTGGAACTTGTCGGAGACGGCGGAGATGGGCGGCAGGGGCTGGAGCGGCGTCAGCGTGGTGTAGGTGCCGCTCATGCCCATGCCGGGTGGCGAGGCCTCGCAGGGCACGCTCATGGCGTGGTGCAGCGGGATGGACAGCTCGGGCCGGTACTCGGCGGCGCCGTCCAGCAGCGAGGCCATGCTGGGCACCATGGCGGGCCGGGCGGCGGGGGGCAGCTCCTGGTGCGGCGGCGGCGGCGGCGGCGGGGGCGGTACCCGGAGCGGCCCCGCGCTTCGCCCGCCGTGGTGCGGGCTGGGGCTGCCCATCAGCTCCGGCTCGTGCCCCGCCGCCCCGTGCAGGCTGCCCAGCGGCTCCATCGCCAGCTCGGGGTTCATGGCGCACGCACCCGGCTCCCCGCCCAGGCACCGCCGGCCGCCGCGCCCGCTCCTCATCCGCTCATCGGGGCGGCGGCGGCGGCGGTCGCCGCGGCCCCCCGGGGCCGCCCGCCGCGCC